TGATGCACTTGATTCAGCTGGAATCTGAAGGTGAGAAAACACTTAGAAGGGGGGGGGGTTGAATAAGGGTTTAGAAATAAATTATGGCAATAAAAAACACAATGATTTTTATCCTGGTTTGTTGAACTCAACTAATCCAGTCCACCCTATCAAGAGTGAATTGCCTTTCTCCACAAGGACTTAATCCACTATAATCAAACAGATTACAATGTCAACCACTAAGAACAACTGTCTTAGTCTTCTCAAGAACTACTGACCACAACTTGGTCTTCTTAAGGAACCTTTACAAATAAATGTAAAACTAACAAGTGTGTATGAAGATTGCTTCTAAAAAGCTTTAATCACAACTGTGATATTTTACACAAGTATTAAGAACTAAGAATAAAAATATTCAGCTTTTTGAGTGTGAACGTTTGTATGAGAGTTGTGAATAGTATCAAGAATTGTCAAAAACGTCAACTTTGAAGTGTTGTTGAAGACATCCTTATATAGTGTTGAAAGTCTCATGCTTGAAGACAGTGCATAGTAGAATAGCTGTAGCCTTTTGTCTTCTAATGACTTTTCCTTTCTCAGAAGAGGAATGTTCAGATAAATGCCTTTTGCCTGAATTCTTGTGTCTATCATAAATAAGGAAAGAGTCGTTCAGATAAGGACAAAGAATATACCAACGGATATATTTTGAATAGCATCTTCTTCAACACGCTTCTTTCTCAAAGTTATCACATCAGAGTCTTGATGATATCAGAGTTTTGTAGCCAATGTGCTTTAGCGTGAATATCAATTAGAGCAGAGTTTGAAGATCAGATCCTCTGTACTTGCAGCGTGAAGTACTTCTAGAGTCTTCTGAACACAGTGCTTGAAACTCTTCATACAAATTCTTCAGCTACGCTTCAGATGCTTCTGTAGCTTCTACTTCAGAGTCTTCTGGCAGCGCTCAAAATCTTCTGACGAGTTGCTTCTGATGCTTCAGAGCCTTGCGTAGAGAACATTCAGATGCATTTTTGCCTTTATCAGAATATTCAACTTTAATATCTGAAACAAAAACACTTGAACAAAATTAGAGTATATATTTTCTTAATGCAAAATTTCATTAGTGTTATCATCAAAACAATGAGATATATTTAAACACCAATCTGTGTTCTAACAGAATCGAGAGGAGATAAGTGGTTAGATTCAAGTTCAACAAATGAGTTAGATTGTTGGTTAGTTAAGACTTCTCTTGTACTGAATTTTGTAAATAGATATTATACATATCTCAATTCTAGTTTTAGAATTAAGGGTAGATGTACCCGAAGCGAGGACGAAAGGGGAACCTCCTAAACAAATCGGGTGTCGTTCTCTCTCTCTCTCTCTCTCTCTCTCTCTCTCTCTCTCTCTCTCTCTCTCTCTCTCTCTCTCTCTCTCTCTCTCTCTCCTTTCTATCTCTCTTTACTTTACATTATTGAAGTTTGTGTGTGATCAACTATTAGAAATATTTCGATTGATTTGTAATGTTAAAAACTGTTGTGAAAAACCATTGCAATCATTTTGATTGCAAGTGTGAAAAATTATGCACTACAAATCAAAAGAAATTTGACTTAGTGTGTTTTCCAGGTCAAGTGTTTGATATATTGATAACACACAAACTGTTAGATATATTGTCAATTAAATTTTATTCTCAATTAAGTATTGGAAATTGATTCACCTTAAGTGGTTTTTATTTGAATAATTGATTGTGAAACTTATTGATTCTCTATCTCATCAAAATTATTCCATTCGGTTTTGCATATCCGATTTATCCAATAACAGTTCGTTTAGACGAGTTTTGGTCCAAGGCCGCTTTCGCACAATTTTGTAAAACATATTTTTAAGCACAAATTATTAAAAATTAGTGATCTATTCAACCCCCTTTCTAGATCAGTGTCATCGTCTAACATGACTCATTGACAAAGCCTCTTGTACAACAGAAGCCTGATGAGCATGTTATATCAATGAGTGTTAGGTGTGTGTCTGATTGACTTTAGTGCTAGTGGAATATTTTTTGTGTAAGCCTTAAAGGCCAATAATTTTATTAGAATAACTTGGTACTTGTATCAAATTATCTATTAATAATAATATATTAATTTATTATATGTTTGTTTTTTAAAAGTAATAAAATTCCTAGAATAGGTAGCCCATTTGATGAAACATTAAGTATGAATTAATTATGAGACTCCATTAAATATAAGAACAATATTTTTAAAGTATCTTTAATCAAGCTTTATTGTGTAGTGTGAAAGAATTAAAATATAAGTTATTCTCACGGTGATAGTGATGTATACCACCCTTTGACCTGAAACCACTATGGAACCTAGATGTGGAGTCAAGTACTTTATTGTTGCTCAAATGTTGTTCTAACTTGATGGACGTAAAAATGGTTGAAGTATACTCCACAAATCATGCTAAGGGACATGCGTGACCTAGATGAAATTTTTCCATCTTTCATATCATGATAAATGTCTAAGAGCCCAATATTAAACTAGGCAAAGGTGACACTTCTATGCCTTGTGTTCAATATAGACACGAGGATAAAAGTGTGATTCTACATATAAACATTATCAATGAAATATTTCTTCAGATCACATAAAGTTTTTGTCACTTGGGAAACATTGATATGTTTCTAGATACTGTTCATTGTTTATTACATTAATATGTGATTTAATATAATTTTCAATGTTACGAGAACCTACAAGGTCACACACATAAACATATTAATGAGAGGGAAAATAAATAAGGGAAGCTTATTCGATCATGTGTTCTTAAAATGCATTAACGTTAATTAGAGAAATATGATACACCGTAAGGTACAATGTACTTAAGTGCAATACATAACATTAATTGTAAAGTATGATCTACTTAAGTGCAATAGAGAATAACATAGTAAAAATTTACTTAAGTGAAATATAGTACAGTGTAAGGTATAATATGCTTATATGAACTCATTCGGCTTACATGCCACACAACTACTTCTATAAATAAAACTTTTGTGCTGTAGTAAATTTCACTTACACAAATTTGATTTGTGAAATCCTAGTTTTTTAAAACCTAGATCCACTTTCTACCTCTTTCTAAGCCTTCATTGGAATTAGCTAGCACTTTGAGTGAAGACATTTTGTTCGTGTGGACTGAGTGAAGTTGTTGTCATTTGAACAGTGTTTGAGATCATTTTTTGAATTTGACTTCAAAGGTTCATCACTATAAGATATAATCAATTGATCATTGATCATTGATCATGACTATTCATAAGAATTCTCCGAAGAGTTTTATTTTTTTATTTATCCATTGAATATTGCTCATAATTTCCCTTCAATAACAACAAAATATAAATTCCACCAAAATTTCATGAACTTAATTGTACTATTGACCCCTCGACTCTTTGTTTTGTGCATTATTAGTAGATGATTTTGAAAGGGGAGTAAAAGATGAATATCACATTGTTGTTCCTTGATTTTGAATGGCAAGAAAAATAGGAACACGAAAAAAATGAAGATGAAAGAAAACAGCAAAACTAACCAAATTTTAAAATTTGTTTTTCAGAGAGAAACACGATGAAAAAAATGAAGACGCAATGAAAAAAAAAGCACTTAACTTAATATTGAAATTTGATTTTCCATATAGAACACAAAGAAAGAAGATGACTAATAAAAACTAGAGGTGGCAATTGAATCCATTAAGGCAAAATCCATTTAATCCATCCATCAAAAAATTCATCCAATCCATCCACCACACAAAAAATAAGTTAATGGATTGGATTAAATCCATCCATTTATATGCATGGATGGATTCAATCCATCCAACATATTTTAAGGATCCAATGGATTATTTTTATTTTCGTTAGATTTATTTTTTTAAAAATAATTTAAAAACAATACTTTTTTTCGAAAAAAATAAATTTTTTTTCTGAAAAAAAAAAGTTTAACTTTTTTTCGAAAAAAATCAGTTTTTTTTTCAGAATAAAAACTGATTCTTTTTTCAGAATAAAAAATTGATTTGTTTTTCGAAAAAAAAAATTTCGAAAAAAAAGCCGACTTTTTTTTTGGAAAAAAAACCGATTTTTTTTTTCCGAAAAAAATCAGTCTTTTTTTTTCAGAATAAAAAACTGATTTGTTTTTCGAAAAAAAAATAAATTTTTTTCTCGAAAAAAAAAATCGACTTTTTTTTTGGAAAAAAAATCGATTTTTTTCTGAATAAAAAACTGATTTGTTTTTCGAAAAAAACCGACTTTTTTTTTGGAAAAAAAATCAATATTTTTCAAAAATTAAAATATCAATTTTTTTTTGAAAATACAAAAAATTCATTTTTTTAATAAATATATTAAAAAATAATTTTTTTTAAATACAAAAAATATTTTTTTCAAAAATAAAATAAAATCAATTTTTTAAAAATAAAAAAAATATATTTATTTTTACGAAATAAAAAAAAAGTTGGATGAATGGATATTCATCCATTAAAAATATGTTAATGGATGGATTAAATGGATTTTATTATTAATGGATGAATTGGATTAGATAATTTTAAGAAAATTTTAGTGAATTGTTAATGTACTAATGGATTGTTTTAATTCATCCATTAACAATTCAATCCATATCCATCCAATCTATCCATTTTGCCACCTCTAATAAAAACCAATAAATACCATCAATAGATGTCATCAATGTTGACGTGGATAACACACAAACATTTTAAACATTATTTGAAGGAAATATATGAAAATGATTAACATATTCATTTTGAATATTTAAGGATCAATCTGATTATTTTCAAAATTAAATTAAAAAATAAATATGTAATTTAGATTAAAAAAAACAATAAATTTTGTTTAAAGAAAAATGTTCAACATTACAAAGTCATAGTACAAAAGATGTGGCATATATTCTAAGAAAAAAAATCTAGAGTTCTTGTTACAATCATACAATACCTGAAAATGAAAGAGACGCAAAGAAATTGACAAGTTATTGGCATTAAAATCATGAAATCTGAAATCAAGGGTACCCAACTGCCATACACATCTCCCAAAAGACTTTATCATCCACATCATTCACATTCACCTCAACCATTCTTGTTTCCACCTCTTCATCCTCATCAACAAGCAATAATGGTGAAGAAGAACATCCTATTTCCATGGTTGCTTCCAACATCAACATGCTAGAGTTGAAACAGCTACAATCAACCCAACAAAATTCACCTGACCCTTTAACATCTTCATCTTCCTTAACCAAGCTACATATACCATCTATGTCACAGTCACAGTCACAGGTACATGACTCTGCATCTTCCTCCGTGTGGCCAATGTTAGCAGCAGGGTATAGTGTAAAGAAGCCAATAGAGTCGCCTTCAGAATCTGCACTGTCTTCAATAAGCAACAAAGATGAGCATGATACATCAGTATTGTTCATTTTTTTCTTTATTCAAACTTATTATGCCAATGGAATATAGAAAGGGCTGGAGTGATGAAAAAAAATATATATATATATATATATATATATATATATATATATATATATATATATATATATATATATATATATAAAGGGAATACTTTATTTTGGTTTTGATGTGTTTTATTTTTCTATCATTTTCACCTTTATTTTATTATGTAATTTATTTAATAATTTTTTATTATTATTTTTCACATAAATTTTTATTATTAACTTCTATATATTATATTTTTTAAATTATATTCTCATTTATGCGCATTAAAAAAAACAGACGGACACGCAAATACCCCTCACATGCGCAGTGGAGTGTTGCTGTTAAGTGGTATTGTTTTGTTGAGACAGCGCTGTTGGTTGATCTATTGCCCGTCACATGCGTAGGGCCCACACTTCAAAGGTGAGACTCCAAATAATTGGTATTAATAAGACACTAATTATATGTATCTATTTTTTAAATTATTAACATTATTATCGGAAATTTCATTAAATCCAAAATGAAACAAACTTTGGACCACATCTTCACCAACTGAATGATTGTGAAACAATGTGAACATTGTAGTAATATTTTTGTATTATTTTAAATACAGAATTTAAGAACTATTAATATTAGTGGCGTGTTTTATTTTAGTATATTGAAGTAGTCTCACACAAAATCGTCTTAGATTTTTTGAAAGTCATGTGTAGATTAACGGTAGTTTAATAATAAAAAAATAAATAGAAATTATATTTAATCATCATTATTTAACTATTATAAATATTTTATAAAGTTTTAGTTAACCATAGGTTAATATGGCAAATTTGAAATTTTGTACGGTAATTCATAAACAATACAATCATGATCTCATATTATTTGATAATCGAAACTAATGATAATTCATATAAAACACGAGACATCTATTATATAAGAATATAATATATTTTGGAAATCTCAAAATTACCCTTCTGCTCATACAAGTCTCCATGTGGCTGCTTTGACTCAGTCTCTATTCCTAATGCTTGGCCATGCAACTACCCTTGATGATATCAATCCCAAAACTAAATAAAATGTAATCAAATTTTCAAATCTATTAAAATATACTTTTGCTTTTCCCATGCATATGTTAAACATTAAATGCACTTATTTCAAATAATACATGTCTAGTCATGTCATTGTTGGTGAGTTCTTCAGAAGGTTATCTACATTATCTCCGCCATAACCCTGCTTCCTTCAGATTTTTCAATGTACTTTTACTTCCATCTTTCCCTCCTTCATTCTCTTACCAATATCTTAAACTTCTTATCTTGCCAAACAACCTCAAACCCATTTTTCAAACATTCTTAGAGCATAATTATCGGTAGAAATATATGATTCCTACACTATTATCAAAGTGATTGTGTCAGAAAATAATGGATAATTGCATAATAACATCGTTTTTTAATTTGTAATCGTTGTCACGTTAAACAACGTTCCTACAAGTGTCACATGTGCATTTAATTAATTATTTAATTGGAAATGATTGTAAAAAGATTTAATATAACATATTTGTCGTATTTAGTGGGACCCATTTTATAAATTTTATGAATTGTATGGATATTTGAAAAATGTAGTTGAGTTGTTTAAATAATTTAAAAGTGTAATATAAAGTAAAAAAAATAAGTGGGACTCATTTAAAGAATACAAATGGGTATGATGAATGTGAATGCTTTTACCAATTCCAGATTTCTACCGATCAAGCATAACCTTATCACTATTTTTGCAGTCTTCTTTACTGATGTTGTTCATCCCCTTTTGTATGTGCATGCAAAATTTTATAAAAATGATATTTCTTTAAATTGTTTTTGTTTTTTCTTCTTTTTTTCTTCTTCTTTAGATCTATGAAAGATTATGGATGCGATTTTAGATCTAGAGGCAATAACAGACATTAAGGGATTTTATCTTCATCTCCGGCACATTTTTCAGACCCTTCATCTTTTCAAACTTCATCTTTGTCTTCTCTCTTAAGTGATTTCATCTTCACCTCTGAAACATTTTTCTTGAACAAACCAGGTAAAATGGGTTTATCTTCTTCATCTATTCACAATATTTATTCTTCATCTTCACTCTTCATTTTGTTGATGTTTATGTTTTAATGTTATACTTATTTTTAAATTTCACATATTATTTTTGTGTTCTTAAAGTATTCCTTTGAAAATAAATTTAGGATTTTCAAGTTTTTATGGTTTTTCTTTTGTTGTTGTAAAATATTTTAGGGTTTTCAATTATTCAGTGTTTGTATGTTGATATGTTGACAATTTGACCCCTTGATAATTTCGTTGAGTTGAATTTGTTGGAATTTGTATTAGTTTGATTTTTTTCCTTTTCTATTAAAATATTCTCTTGAAAAAAAAAACATCTTCATTTGCTTTTATTTTATAAATTTTGTGTTACTCCAAGATGGAAACAAGATATAAAGGAAAAATAAAAACAAAAAAAAGTGGATTTAAGTGGCATTATTATGATAATGTCCATAAAAATGAATTATAATAATTTATTTTGTTTGTAGGAAATTTGGGATAGTGTTGAAATTAGAGGTTGCAATTGGATCCATTTAGGCAAAATCCATTCAATTTATCCATCTAAAAATTCATCTAATTCATCTCCCACATAAAAAATAAGTTAATGGATTGGATTAAGTACATCCATTTATATACATGAATGGATTCAATCCATTGGATCCAATGGATTATTTTTATTTTCGTTACATTTATTTTTTTAAAAATAATTTAAATTTTATTTTTTAAAAGAAAATAATTGATTTATTTCCTAAATAATCGGAAAAAAAATCAGTTTTTTTTCCTAAATAAAAAACTTATTTTTTTCGAAAAAAAAAACGATTTTTTTCCGAAACCAAAAACTGAATTTTTTAATAAAAAAATACAGATTTTCTTCCCGAAAAAAAAACGATTTTTTTTTCGAAAAAAAAAACCAATTTTTTTAAAAAATTAAAATATCATTTTTTTTGGAAACTACAAGAAATTCAATTTTTCTCAAAAAAAATCGATATTTAAAAAATTAAAATATCAATTTTTTTCTTGAAAATACAAAAAATAATTTTTTTTTAACAAAAAATTTAATTTTTTTCATGAATATATTAAAAAATATTTTTTTTAAAATACAAAAAATAATTTTTTTTGAAAATAAAATAAAATTGTTTTTTAAAATAAAAAAATACGTTTATTTTTTCGAAATAAAAAAATACTGGATGGATCCATTCATTAAAAATATGTTAATGGATGGATTTTATTCTTAACGGATGGATAAATATGTTAATGGATGAATTTTATTTTTAACGGATGGATTGGATTGGATAATTTTAAGAAAATTTTAGTGGATTGTTAACAGACTAATGAATTGTTTTGCTGAATTTATGGGATATTTGTAATAAAGATGGATTCATGTATATTTTCATTTAATGTTTTTTATTTAAGGATAAAGTTGTGATTTTTTATAGTAAAACAAATATAAATGTATTTTCTTTAATGATAACTAACTATTAATTGCTTTTTATTTTTTTAAAATATTTTGTATTCAATATTGATCTGACCTGATCAGAAGGGGATCACAGACTGCCACACGTTACTGTCTGCTCACCGGTGTTGAAAAAGAGGAGGGGGGTGTACCTGCAAGACACTCCGATGCCAAAGTAAGGAAAAGGGGCAGGGTGATCACAAGTACAATAAGAGGGTAAGAAGAGAATACCTGACCCTCTAGTAAAGAGGGTATTTATAGAGAGAGCCCAGCGCAGGGCCAACGGTCATTTGAGTTGGGCTGGATGGCCAGGCCCAACCCAAGTGACTGCTAGGGCTTACGTGGCGTAGTGGAGACCAGTACGTGGTCTTCGCCCTAGTTCAACTGTCTCGTGATCTCTGGAAAGTGGGTTTGTCCTGCTCTTTCGGAGGTGGGCAGTTGGTTGGTGACGTGTCCCGCGGAGGGGAACACGGGGAGAACGTGTGAAGGACACGTTGTTCTGTCCGACAAGGGAGAAGGTCCTGCCTGCGGAGGGCAGGTTCTGCCCGACGGGGCAGTGTCTGGTCGACGGGAGTCTTGCGCTCGACAAGAGAGGAGGTTCTGCCCGCGGAGGGATAATGTCCTTCCCGCGGATGGGCATTGTCTGCCCGGCGAGGATTCTGTGCTCGACGGCTGTGGCCCAAGCAGGATTGGGCCTGGAAAAACATCATTGGGCTGGGCCTGCCCGGTCAAGCCGGGGCCCAGGCCAGAATAGGATCCCCCCAAGTCATAGCTCCGAGGAAGGGAGCGAGGACTTAATGATATTGTGCCGGGGAGGAGAGGTTACCCTGAGGAAAAAATCCTCCAACTCGCAATCTGCGGGGACACGAGCACGTGAGTCCTTCCTTGTCATTGGGTGTCCGGGGGTTGAGGACACGTGTTGGCGGGGAGATGTAAAGGGACGCGACTATCAGCCTTCGCCACGTGTCATGCACTGGGTGACTGCTAGGGCGGCTACCCTAGGGTACTCGAGTGCCTAGTGACGCTTCGAGTCCCGTGCTGAGGTATAAGTAAGCGAGCCCCCGCTCATTCTTCACTTTTCGCCTTCTTGCTTCCAACCACTTGGATCCGCCGCTCTTCTTCTGTCTGATATCTCCGTCGTGACAGCCGCCTCGCATTTCGTCGTGACAGTCGTTCAGCTTCCGTCCGATATCTCCGTCGTGATATAGTAAGTTTTCCTTCTCCTTTCTTTTGTTTTTATCGTTTGTTTTTTGGGATCGTGGTCGGGGTATGGTGAATGCCCCAAGGAGAGGCATGGGCCTTTGCCGCTATAGGCGGAACTTTCTAGGGTTTTTAAATGAGTGCCCTGAGGATAAGTGTCTATTCCGATGAATGCCCCGGGGACAGATGCTCATTCTGTTGAACGCCCCAGGGACATAAGCTTATTCCGTTGAGCTCCCTGAGGACATGCGCTTATTCTGATGAGCGTCCCGGG